GTCTATTTCTCAAGATATTTTGAAGTGGCCAAAATGACATCCACAACACCTGGAGCTGTGATCTATCGTTACTCGTCATAGTATAGCTGAAGTGGTCCACTCAGACAATGGCCCACAGTTTGCATCCGAGACCTTCAGAAAGTTCACACAGGACTGGGGCTTTAGTCATGTGACATCCAGTACCCATTTCCTACAAAAGTCTCCTCAAGACATCCAGCCACCCTTAGCTCGCCCTGATGGCCTATCAAGCTGCTCCCTTGGCAAATGGATACAATCCCACTGTGCTTCTGATGGGAAAATAAGGAAAATAAGAACACCAGTTCCTGTCATTCCATCCAAGCTCAGCCCAGGGAGCGCAGACATAGATAACTTGAAAAGGACAGAATGAACGTACAGACAAAAACTGCGACAGAACTATGACCGAAGACACAGATTACGCGACATGCCATACCTTCACCCCGGTGATCATGTGTGGGTCAAAGATACAGTGGAAAGAGGCACTGTGGTGTCTACTGCCGGCACGCCAAGGTCCTACATCATTGAGAAGCCCGGGGGTACTCTGCGAAGAAACAGATACCATCTTTCCCCAACCCCTGTGGCTCCTGAAAAACCTGCCAACTCAACTGAGCCAGCACAAGAGAGCACTGTTCCTGACGCCAGTCAGCAGACTCCAGCGTGTGAGAGACGTTTCCCAGCCCGAATAAGGAATCCTCCATCTTACCTTAGAAATGACACCTGTTGAGTTGATGGAGGAGGGCAGTGAGTAGTTGATTGTTGCCAGCTTTTGTTGTTATTAGAAGCCAATTAAGTTTTTCAGAAGCACATGTTCAAAGTGTTTTATAGCTGAACAGAATGGCAAAAGTTGAGAAGCCATAATTATGTGTTATCACTGTTACTGATCTTGATAACATTTTAATGATGGAATGGATTATATTTTGCAGTATAAGAAGTAATCTGAAGAGCCTTCTGTTACAGTTAGAAATTCTCTTAATGTTCATTCCTGCATCTGCACAGGGAATATCCTGTTTAGAAAGGGGGATATAGTATCAGATTGACTACTCAGATAGGAACCTTGTGCAGTTGGCTGATTCGGGGGGGGGTCAATAAAGCCGTGGGATCAACCGACATGCTGCTGTGGACTTTCAGTAGAGCCTCCTATTAAGATTTTGTAATTTTGTACTTGTGAAAATGTTTTGTAGCTGTGTGGAAATGTTTGAATGTGTATCTGAATATCAGAAAAACCCAAAGTTTACAGGTACGGATAAATTCTAAAGCTACAAAACAAACCTACAGTTACAAGTACTTTTGTCCCACATTTGACACATACTACTGAATGACCAATGGGGATGCTCTGATTAACATGTTATTTGACTATCCAATCAGGAATATCAGTTCACCATACAATCACGGATTCTGGGGGGCGGGCCATATTGTCTGCCACGGGAAATTTCACATGCCATCGCCATTGCTGTTTACATTCTGCCCTCTGCCAACCTGACGTCGGAGTGTGACGTCACCCACACCGCCATTGCTGAACTCCAGACTCAACACCCGAGTGCCCTCATAGTGATCTCGGGTGACTTCAACCACGTCACCATGACCACCACACTAACCAACTTCACCCAGTATGTGAGCTGCCATACTAGAGAGGACATAGATGGGCTTAGTGAGTGCTCAGATTACATCAACTTCTGTGTGGACTGAACTGTCCCAGCAAAGAGGAGGGCTTTCAGAGATGGGAATAAGGAAGAGGTGAGGGCCATTCAGGAGTACCTGAAGGTGAAGATCAGGGAGGCTAAGGAGGAGTACAGGAGGAAGCTGGAGCGGAAACTCTAGAAGAACAACATGAGGGAGGTCTGGAGCGGCGTGAGAAACATCATTGGCTTCAGACCGACTGGCAGCAGAGGAGTTGAAGGCATCTTGGACAGGGCCAACAAACTTAATCTGTTCCTTAACAGATTTGATGCCATTGCTCCTGCCCATCCCCCCACTAACTCAGCTGCTGTCTCACCTCCCTACTCCCCCTTCCTCCGGCTCTCAGGTTATCAGCTCTCTCCAGCGCTTTGAGTGGTTGAAAAGACTAGAAAGGCGCTATACAAGTACAGAGCATTTATATTTACATTTACAAGCCGGCAAGCACTGTGAGGGGAAGTCATTCCTGCCTGTGGCCATCAAACTTTATAACTCCTCCCTCTAAGTGTCTGACACACGGACACTTAGTTAGTTTTTAAACTGGACCATGTTATCTATTTTTGTGTAATATTATCTGTTTAATAATTAATGTGCAATATTCTCTGCTGCTATTTATTCACTAGTACTTTTTTGTTCACCAGAATAATTCTCTAATAATGTAAATATTGTACATATTACTATTTCTATTCCTTATGCCTTGACATGTGTGCAATTGTGACAAAGAATTTCCCCTCAGGGATCAATAAAGTATTTCTGATTCTGATACAGTAAACAATAGTTAAAAGTTATGTTTGCTTCCAAAAATGAAATGATACCACAGCCACACATGGAAAGCATTTAAACAATTCAATTTAAATTGATTAACAGGCAGAACAAACAATAATAGGTGGGTGTTAAAGAATGTGTGTGGCGATGGAGCAAGACACTTAACCCATCGTTACTCCAGAGGCGTGTGACCTCTGACAGGTATAGCAATTGTAAGTTGCTTTGGATAAAAGTGTTGAATAAATGTATTTGTATTTTACTTGTTTATTTTACAGGCCTGTCTTCAAGAACCTGTATGATTGCTTCTTAAAACATTTTGTAGATTCTTGAGCTATTGAGCTATAAAGCACGGCAAACAGTTCCAGAGAGAGGAAGGTCTATACATTACTGTCACACGCTTTAATACTACAGACACATATCATTCAGCATATAACATAATTGCTGGAACAGGAGGAGAGAACAGAGTAGACAGCCAGCTGTGCTCTCCTTCTCTTCTCTTTAGTGGCATTTACCGGGCCGGAAAGGAAAGCGCAGCTCTTCATTACAAACTGCTGCAACGTGCAGGAAGGCTTGCCATCTGGCTGCTTAACTCTTTTATTCTCTCTGCCTCTTTCAGAGAAAGATGGAAAATAAACAAGAAAGAGGGAGAAATAGCAAGGTAAAAGAAACAGAGGAAGAGAATGAAAACCGAATAAGAAGACAGTGAGAGAGAGAGAATGAGGAAGAGTGATAGAAGAGAGAAAATGTAAAAATAAGTATGAGAAAGGTCCAGAAAACAGAGAGACAAAGATAACGAGCTGGTCCAGGACATTGTTTTTTCCCTTTTTGTTCTGTCTCTATCCTTTGTTCCACTCCTCTCTTTCCCTTGCTCCCTAATGAAGTTATCTTTCTTCCTCTGTCACGATTCCCTCCAGTCTGGGTTTCCTTCAGATAAACAAAAAAGATAAAAAAAGATTTGGCAGCAACAGAACCTAAAAGTAAAACCAAAACCAGAATCTGCTGGGGAAACAGACACATTGTTTGATGGCTATGTTTTCATTTCTTCTACTTTTTATCATCTGGAGTGCTTCAGCTCACCTCTCCTCCAACCTTTGTAGAAAATTGTCTTCATTGTCATTCCTCAGTGTCATGTCATTAGGGAGGTTAAATGAAAATTGGAAATGTCTTCCACACCTGCGGCCTGACTAGTTTTTAATGTTGTTTCCAATATTTTGGGATTAAAGCTGCTAATAGCTATTTTGGTGGAGGTACTTGCTCACTGCTGCACCTGCGTGCGCCTGGGTTACAAAGTAATCCACCGGGAATGTGTGCTCACATGTGGTTAATTGACCAACGCAGCGCCTTCATAGACGTTGAGAAAGTTTAGCTAGTTTCAACGGCAGACAACCCTGCATTGTTTTTCCATTCAATGTGAAGCAAAATAACAACGTACTAGAGTAAAATTTGCTTGGACTGTAAGAACAAGTCCTGCTTGGAACACCTTACCTTAAACATGCACTAACAACTGAGCTAGCTGTGCTGACAGGTTAGTTGCTCTGTCATTAGCTTGTGAACACACATCTGCCCATTTCAGATGTCAGTGCTTCCCCTATATGCATTCAGCAGTGGTGCACCGCCGCTGCTGAATTTCCCACGATAGTTAAACTATGCGCTACAGATGTTTTCACTCGCACACTGTGGGAGCATGGCAACACTCAATGCTTGGCTAGCTTCCTCTCAAGGAAAATATTCTGGCAGTAAATGTACGGTGTTGGTTACAGTGTTTCGGCTTCTCAAGACCAAGAAAAGTCTGTTGTTTCCCACCTGCTGAAAAAGTGAAACCTGTTAGCGCTAAGTTAGCTAACATCTCCCCTCCCCTTCAGACTGAGCTGAGCAGGAAAGCTTCAACAGCAGGCTGCGTCTTTTGGCTGCTATGTAAGTTAACATTAGCTCAATAGAAAGTAACAGGTAGCTGTATTTTATTACTAATGAGGAGACGTTTCTTTTTGGATTTTAATGTGCAAATAAAATGCACCTCAGAAGGGAGGAGGTTTCTCATGTTGCACACAAAAGGCAAACACAAACAATCGTATCTATAAAGATTCTGAGGTCATATTAATAAATGTTAAATCACTGTGGAGCATCATAACCAACCAAATAACTTTCCCCAAATCTAAAGGTTGTAGTTCCTCCAGTAGACTGATCTTTGGCTGTTGGTTATTTATTATCTGCTCTAGCTTTTCCAACTCTTTGTTCAGACATATGGTGAATATAATGGCCCAATGTGATGTGAAATTACATATTTGTCATTGAAAAACGTAAAATTTTCTTGGGGGAGGACCCCCATACACCCCACCACCCTGACCATGACCACCAACACCAAAACATTCAGCTAAAGCTCACATTAAACTGGGAAAACTATACTTTAAACTATTCTGACGTGCATCGCATGCTCATGGACACAAGAGCAATACTGCTGGGACATGCAAAAATATTGCTTCACCTCCGCTGCTATAACTCCATCCTAGGGGAAACACTGGATGTGGTTTCTTCTTCTTCTGCAGGCACCTGGTTGAAGTCGGAGGAAACGGTGGCGATGAAGACGAAGAGAGCTGACTTTGCTGCTGCTTTCCTGCGTGGCCGGATGGTGGTAGCAGGAGGACTTGGTAAGAGGGAGCATCGTAAACTAAACTTGGTTGCTGCTTTTACGCTGCACTTTCAATTGATTGAATGTTGCTGCAATTTGATTGGTTAAAGTAACCTAGCTAACCTTACCTAAGTGTTCACAAGACTGAATGAATGTGATAGCAAACTGAACCACACTCATCCATCTATTGTTAGTTTTCCTGTGAAATATGAGCTTCTACCTGAGAAGTAGCCTGTGTGCCAGTCAGAATACAGAAACAGCCTTGATTGGGCTGATATCTTTTCCAAGGTCATGAGCCTTCTGCGCTGGACACGGTCGAGGCCTTTCATCCTCAAAAGAAGAAGTGGGAGAGGTTGGCTGCCATGACCTTTCCCCGATGCTCCACCTCCTCCATCGTCATCAGAGATCGCCTCCTGGTGGTGGGAGGAGTCAACCAGGTATCCTGTACTGAGGCGGGGGGTGGGGTGGTTCCACACTTTATTCTTATTGTTGTATTCAGTCAATGATTAGGAAGGTCAACCTTGGACCACCCCCCACCCCCACGTTTGCTTTTTGTATTTTATCTAGTGCTGGGCAACAATCAAAATTTTTTATTTATTTATTTTTATTAATTGCATGGTTATGCGCAAAATTGAATAATGAATTCTAAAGTAGTGTATTGCGCACTTTTAATTTAAATGTACTGCTATAAACACAAAAGTGCAATAACATGTGGTTTGCAAACACTTTTAACAAATAAGGTGCTTTTTAACCAGCAGTATTCCCTTTACACGGTAGCAATAAAATATTTCTTGTAAATCTCAACTTAAACATTAATATGATCAACTCAAATATTAAACTGAAAATAATATAAAATATTATTTGCCACTGCCAGGGAATTACTTTTTATCTAGCGTGTTAAAACAAGTTAGAGTCCAGAGCCGCGATCAGAACAGGCACCTTCTGAGCAACAGGTTAACAGATATAAACCTGTTTTCTTGTTTTTGTTCTGAACAGGTATCAGCAGAAACATTTTTCTTTTATCAGAGAACAGAAACAGTCTATGTTCAGTAGCAAGTGTCCCTGTTACTGTGAGGTGAAGTGTCGCAGTTGTGCTCGCCTCACGCACACGCCCGCCTGGTGCCGAAGTTGAATTGTCTTGAACTTTTTGTAGGCTACGCAACGCACAGTACAAATCATTGGAAGAGAGATTGATCCTCGCTGTTTGTGACTTTCCAGAATCTATTACTGTTTACTAAATAAGAAATCAACGGGAGGGAAAACCAATTGCTCTTTGGGATACATAAAAGTTAAAATAAAGAAAGAGTTAAAAGCAAAGAGCCTGAAACCAAGGTCAAACGCTGACCCAGTTACTGAGCCATTGTGTCAGCACTTCTTCTAACCTGTACCACCTGGTGGCAACCAAAGCTACAGCAGCAGCAGCAGTGCATTTCTGGAAATTCAGATATGTGTTCAATAATCAACTGGCAGAAGATTTGGTAAAAAGTTGAAAGGAAATGAGGAGTTTAGACTGACTCAGCTGTTGCTGAATCCAAGCATGGGCCATACCCCTAACACCAAGAAACAGAAGAACAAAAGAGATACATAAACATCCATCAGGTGTGACGAATTAGACAGGAAACTGGTTATGTATCGTTTCTATGGTTACCAGCAGTTACCTGAGGGATGAGGTGTCCTGAAATGGAGTTTCAGTAAATACCTCCCAGTCAATTTTCATGTATTGAAGGTATCAGTTTTGAATGAACGTCCGACCTTTGACCGCCCATCTTTCCCTTTTACCCCAGGTTCCCAGCTCAGCTCATGAGATCCTGTATGTAAAGGAAGAAGAGTATCTGTAGCTGCAGGAACTGACATCAGATCAGTGATTCCACTCCCTTGTGGATTGTGACTGTGTGATGAAATGTAACAGATAACACTGCCCCCTGCTGGGCTTTCTGACACTGAGCCCCACATGTAAGCACGCACATGCACAATGGAGGAGCTGGCTCTTTCTTTATACCAAGTTGCGTTCCTTGATCCTTTCAGTATGTGACACTTCTGCGTTGTACGTTGTAGTGCATACATGGAGAATAAACTATTTTGTAGCGTATGTCTAGTAATTTAGACAGAAAATATGTGGAACATATCTTTGGTTATGTGTCTTTGTGTTTGTGTGGAGCTTGCTAGCAAGTGAGCATTTGTAGATTAAATTTTTTTATTAAGTTAGACAAAGTGACTGCAACATTTGTATATTTTTAACATCATCTAGCTACAGACTGGGTAATTTTAGGTTCATAAACTGTACTGTAACACGATTTGCACTACAGCAGTTAACACTGAGTTTGAGTAGATTTTTAGATCAAATATTTCTAGTGTAATTACACAGAGAATGCTGTACTTTCACTCTTCCATGCTGTAGCAGTGCATGTGTGTGGGTATGATAATAGATATGACTGAATATATTGCATAAAGGAAAAGACACTATTAAATGATACTGTTTAACTGATCACCAGACTGCTGTTGTAGACAAAGAAATGGATACAGTTTGTACACGTTATTCCTGCAGCAATACACCTTTTCTTTAGTGTTTCATTGTGCAACATGTGCTGTAATAATCATCAGTTAATAACACCTCACTCAGGTTGTGATGTTACAAATCTGTTGTGACTTCAGAGATAATCTACTGACTGATATTATGTTTGCTGTCATCATAATAGTCAAAGCCAAACTCTTGTCTCTTTGGCAAATTTCATTTCATCCTACAACGTGATCAGTCTTTGATCTGTGCGGCACCCTGTCATGTAATATGTTGAGGATATGAGCAGGCTTATTCAGTGGAATAAATGGATTTGTTGTTTATATTGCACCTATTTTCCACTAGATGGCAGAGATTACACATATGAATCCATGCAGTCTTCTCCAGAGTGAAGCAGTATAAATTCACAGTATATTATTACATATGCAGGTATGTTGTCAGATCATTAACTTAATTTCTCTTTCATGGAATGATATGTGTTCTTAAGCAAAATTAAAAAATGAATAAACTTTATGGATGTTTAATGAATATTACAAGCAATACGATCAATCCTTCGGTGACCAGTGTGACAGCTGACAGAGGAGTAAGCTGATGGCCTAGATTGTATTTCAGAGGTAAATTATGATTGAAACAGCAGGATTTTTATACATGCTAGCAAAATGATATGCCAGCATTACACTTTTTTATGGTAACGTTTCTTATGTGTGCTATTTAAAAAAATGTCTCAATCCGTTCAACTCGGTTAAAGTTCTCAAACACGGAAGGCTGCCTGGTTTGCTTTAATTGACAAAGTTTATTGCACAAATTCACCTCTTGATCTTTCTCTGTTATGGCTCTATAAAGCCCCGTGGAGCCACAACCAAATTCCAACGATTTTAATGTTTTGGTAATTTGGCTCCCGGTAGAATTCTGTCAGGGCTCTGGAGTGGACCCAGAACAACTGTCATCAGCTGTTGGCTGTAAACACTAGCAGGACTAAAGTTACAGTGCGGTTATGTTGAAACTATAACTTAGCACAACATAACTGCGCTGTAATAGCGTTATGCTTTATTAAATGTCACAAAATTATCAAAATATATATATATAATGTCAGTCCAGTGACTCAGTGACTGAGTCCTCTCATTCCCCGGTGCTGGCAGTTACTCAACCTGCCGAATGAAGACAGACTCCAAGGAGGACCCATGTGAGTGATGAACGATTAGTTCATTCCTGCTCTACAGTAGCCGAGATGTCACGTGACAAATGAACGACTCAAACCCAGAGACCCACAGTTGAGAGTCGTGAACTAATCAATACTGTTTCCTGTGCTGACGGAGCCCATGCAGCTGCTGTGTGACAAGTGAACAAATTACTCACTGAGACAACCCGTTCCTCCTGAGTCACATACAAGATTAGGTCAAATGAACAAAATGTTCTTTGAACGACACAACACTAATCAGAGATGGGCTGTGTTTGTAGAAAGTAGATACAGGGTCTGTGTGTGTTGATTCAAGGTTGCTAGATGATATTAATTGGACCCATGTGAGTGGTGAACAAATAGTTCATGTCTGCTCCACAGTAGCCGAACTGTCATGTGACAAATAAACAACTCATACCCGGAGACCCACAGTTGAGAGTCGTGAACTAATCAATTCTGTTTCCTGTGCTGATGGAGCCCATGCAGCTGCCGTGTGACAAGTGAACGTAAGAGTCCAAGACTATTCAGACTACTCGTTCCTCCTGAGTCATATGCAAGATTAGATCATATGAACGAAATGTTCTTTGAACAACACAACATTACACCTTTCGACAAGTTATGGCCAAGAAAGCATGCCTAAGGTAAGACATAAGCTAGCTTACAATGTTAACTGTCCTGTCAGAAACAGTAATGTTGCCAATTTTATAACTTAGCCCAAAGTTAGTAACCAAAACGTTGCCTAAGCTAATTGTTAGTTTATGGAGACCAGTGGCAGCAACCTGGATGTAATGTAGACTAACGTTAACAGGATAAAATATATTGGGATCTTTCTCTTGTTGCAGTAGACAAATGCATTTTATCTATACAATATGTAAGCTAATTCCAGCAGGAGCTAGCTCCTCTCTGCTATCTTTAACAGAAATTAGCCTGACCTCCATTTTACAAGTTGAATACGATGCTGATAAATGAATAAGGCACGTTATATGTTTTAAACAATCATGGCCAGAAAACCGTTTTTAACTTAATAATACCATATTGGTCCGAATATATTTCTCCCCCCCTAAAAATATGTCTAAAAAAGTGGTGTCGTCTAGACAGATGACGCATAATAAGGTAGGTTACCGGTATTTGTATAGCGAGCGTTTTAACATAAATGAGCCACCATTGTCACCTGGTTTGTTTGTCATTCTGTTTACTGTGCATCTATAATGGTTATAATAACATATATGGCGCCGTTTCCAATTCTACCTTTATCTATCACTGAACTTAGGTGAATTCACAAACCAGTTTGTTGAGCAGTTTAATTTGTAATTCAAAACGCTTACACGTATGCATTGTAGTGATCTCTCTCAAAAAAGAGGCATCCTTAAGTGCGTTGTCACCTAAAATCCCATTTCATAATAAAAGTATCTTCACGTTACACGCTGCATTCTTTTTAAGCTGACAGTCATAGATGGAGGTCTATAAGGCAGCTGAAGGGAAGAAGAGGGCAAGGCTTAGACATGCTGCTTAACAGAGAAAGTGGTTCCTTGAGACTCTCGCTTGTGTATCCTTCTCACGTCTTTCACGCCTGATCAGTTTGCATGTCTGATCATTACTAAAGATGTACAGCACATGTACGCATGATCTTTAAAGTGAACAGACTTTAGTGAGTCACCATCGTGACACATCAGTACCTTTAGTAGTGGAGCTTCTCTCACTGACGAATAAAGCACTGTTGTCCAGTCAGACGTAATCCACAGTAGGTTACTTCCTCATTAAAAGGCCACACATGCCACATAGACAGTCACAGTGTCATAATTATGTGGCTGAGCTGGTAACCTTGCAAACAGTGCTTGAAGAGGTCCAGTCTTGTAGGGAACCACCCTTAACACTGAGCTAATGAAAGTCAGAAACAGCCTGGGAACAAACTGGTCACATAGTTAGTAAAGCATTTGTATTTTCCCCTCAACGTTTTACTGGAAATGTTCATACACATCAAACATACATGTTTTCTACCCGCCTGCTGTGCAGCAACTTGGAAATCTGTCAGACACAAGAACTTTATTTTGAAATTTGCCTTGTCATATCTACGGATCTCTGCCGAGGCTTAAAAGCTGTAAGTCAAAAGGCACTAAAGGATCCTTGACCATCACAAGTGATGAATGCAGTAATGTGTATAATGTAATACAGCAGTAACCGCTGCACTCAGTGACTCAGCCAGCTTTAGTAATGTTTGCCAAGGCTTGTTAGCTGATGCTTATTCACTGCTTACTCTACATCCACACTGATTTCTTCTGTGAGGTTTTTCCTGCTGCCCTCCAAGGATCGAAATTTGCTCTAATAATGACTCATGCCCACGCACACACACACATTTTAGACATCATCCAGTCTAAATGTGTTGATTGCACTCACGTGAGTCAACTGCATGTTTGTGGCTACTGAACTTCTTTCTCTCTGTGTTTTTTCCAGATTTACTCAGTAATTGCCCTGCAAGCAGCAGACAGACACAGTCGGGGGCAGTTATTAGCCTCTCATGTAACAGGGGGATAATCAGTACCACTATTACACAAAGAAAGTAAATGGAAAAATGGTGACTGGAAAGAGAAAGGTCACATTTCCTTTCAATGATGAGGCCTATAATCAAATATTTGTACTGCACAGTAAAGAACATTGAGGTGATCAGGGTACCTACTCCAAATATCAGTAATATTCAGAACCCCTCTTCATGTTCAAAGAAGTTATATCATTCCTAGTAAATTAAAAGGCTCAAAATGTTTTTCCCGCCTGGTGACAGCTCTATTGTTTGTGGGTTATTGGCAGAATGTCTTGGTTGCAGGTCTTTTCTTGGACACCTCGGCCTCTACATGCTGCAGTCTCTGCTTCAGGAATGAATCACACCGGCACAGAGTCGTGAATCATGGGGACCCTGTCTGGTTGATGGCAAATGGGTCATATTTGATCTGAACACAAGGTTTCCAACCATGTTGCATAATGTGTGAGAACAAGTGTATTTGTACTTCAGATACTTCTATAGCAGGAAAGTCCCAGAGTGTGTGGAGTGTGTTTGTCAGAGGATGAGTGCATGGTGGTGGTCGTAAGGGCACTGGAGGGTAGTCTGGTCAAAGTGCATGATGAATGCTGCTCTAACGTGACATTGTACTCATACGATTTATAATGAAGAGCTAAGCAAAAATTATATTTTACAAAGCAAAAGTAAAACTATAAAACACTACTAATCTGGTGAAATTATTATTACATTATCTTTTCAGTTAATTTACAATGAATACATCCCCCAGAGCTTCCCATCACAGCAGGTTTACAGAAGCCATAAGTTCAATGTCACAAATGCAGGTGGAGGACACAGCTGATTCTAGGGTCACAGGTCAGGACATCCACTTTCACCTGCACTCTGTGATCCCACACGATCACCTTTCTGGCCCCCTTGTTAGCTGCTAAGCTATTTGTGACATCCTGAGAGCACAGCAAGCTAAGTCTCATATGACATTGGTGGAAGAAGAAATTAGAATCTTTACTCAAGTACATGTTGCAGTACTAGACTGTAAAAATTCTCCATTCCAAGTGAAAGTCCTGCATTCACTTAAGTATTACCAACAAAGTGTATTTAAAGTATTAAAAGTGAAGCTACTCGTGTATAAAAATTGCCTATGTGAGAGTATAAACTGACACATTACAGCAGGAGTTTGACGTTTTGGGAAATATGCTTAGTGTTAGATAAGAAGACTGAGAAACAGTAAATAAGTAAATGTGAGGTTACTGCTAGGTTAGCTTAGCTTAGCATATAGACTGGAAACAACACACCATGTTGATGGTGAATGCAGGTCAGGGGCTGCAGACTTCTTACCTTCATTGAATGAAATACACTAGTCCGGTATATGACCCCCCCATAAACCACCACATCTCATTTTTACACCTTGAATTTTATATGAAATCAGTGATCAGTGAGCTTGTGGAATTTGTTAACTTCAGACGGAGCCAGGCTAGCTGTTTCACCCTTGTTCCAGGTGTGAGAATGATATCAATTTGATATCGAGCATTTTAAATTATATATTATTCCTCTGAAATGTGGTAAACTGGAAGGTTTTTTTATTCTCAAAAACGTTCTTTGTTATTAGTGTGTGTATACTTATTTACTTTCCCCTACTGGCATATGAAGAATTTAGCAATATGCTGTATTCTCATAATTATTATTATTATCAAGAAGGAAAACCGCATTTCTTGTACAGTAGACACCAGTCTGACTAAAAACAGTTGCTGGGGTGCAAGAACTTCTGTTGGAGAAAAATGGATGAGCCTCAGGGAAGACATGCACACACACATCCACAAAGATAAATAAAGTAGTCATGGATGCACAGACATGACGTCCAACTTACTCAAGTTACTTCATTAAACAGGCTGTGGGTACTACTGTGCTACTACGTAAAACCAATATAATGGATTACCTAACTAATACCAGCTCTGCCATTGGTGATTGCCTAACAGTAAATATTCTGGCAGATTAGTAAACATTTTCAGTTTGCTGTGGTAATAAACTTCATTAAACAGGCTGTGGGTACTACTGTGCTACTACGTAAAACCAATGTAATGGATTACCTAACTCAAGCAAGTTCTTGCATATTGATTTTCTTGTTGTAATCTAATTATTGAAAACCAATAGTGTAATTAATCTAAACATGAAAGCATACTTTGGCAAAACGTCAGCAGTATTGAAGTATACAACATTTACAGCGATTGGGCAATAGGCAAAAACACATGGTCCTTTAAGATAAGGCACCCCTCTCGTCTCTGACCTGAAACTATACTATCCATTTTCCATAATGTGATGATGTGTTTTGCTTATTGGCTGAACCATGTGCTGCCCACAGGAGATTACTCTTCACACACACACACACACAGTCTTGTGGCACTATCTTTGTAGGGACCTGTTATTGACATCCCTAGACCTTTACAATAAAAAAATAAAATTGTGTTTTCATTTGCTTTCAAGCTGTTGATAAATTACGTGAAGACTGTTACATAGAAAAGATATAAATTCAGGTATTATGCAAATTAGCGACAACAGGCATAAACGAGAAACCAGGGCTTGCAAAAGGTTCCTAGGTACGTATCGAATAGACACTTGGGTGAATCCATGAGCTATCTTGGCTTGCAGTCTGAAAGGAAGAGGTATGATGCGAATTCGCAACAATCGGCGTCAAGGGGTTAACCATCACAACTACATGCCTAACCCTACCCCTTCTCCCAACCTTAACCAAATTCTAACCTGAACCCTAAAACCAAGCCTTGACCCTCAGACAGCCCTTTAAACTTGTAATGTCTAGCATTTTGGTCCCCGCAAAGCTGTTGGACACCCTGCAAGTACAGTGGAATCCTGGTTTTTGGATCCCACGAATATAGTAAAACAAGTTTACACACATACACACACACACACACACCCCTACTGGTAAACATGTGAGGACAGAGCAGTTAATGGGTTTGTTATTCTCTAAAACCTCACAAGTTTAATTTTCTTCCATTTACCGCAAGTTCTGGCATCGTCACACTGGTTCTTCCGTGACAAAAATCTCACAGGTCAGGACATCCCCTTTCACCTGCACACTGTGATCCCACACGATCACCTTTCTGGCCCCCTTGTTAGCTGCTAAGCTATTTGTGCTGTAAGAACCTATGCTGTAGTGAAATGGCTAAAAAGACAAACATTTTTTGAAAGTACAGGAACGGTAAAATGGCACTTGTCTTTCTGTTGTTTTTTTTTTATCTCTTTTTAGTTTTGACAAAGTAGTACTGCATCTCTGTGATTCAAATATAATTAATGCAGACATTATAAATGTTAAAATTCTGATTATGAGAAAAACAAACCAAAACAAGACTTGTCAGCCAGAATCCCTAATCACATTTATTCATTTAGCTGACACTTTCATCCAAAGCAACTGAAAATTGCTATATATGTCAGATGTAATATATGTCAAAAATAATCAAAAGGAAAAGCAGCGTGTTTACATGAAATAAGGAAAAGTTGCCAATTACATTTCCGTCAATGTACTAGCTGTACTTGAATAAACTGTTGGGGAGTGTAATTTAAAACAAAACATCATCTTTTTCAAACTCGTCATATGTTTTGTGTGTAATAAGCTTAATTTGTAAAGTAACTGAAGCTGTCAGATAAATGTAGTGAAGGAAAAAGGACAATATCTCCCTCTGAGATGTGGTGGAGTAGAAGTAGAAAGTGACATGAAAAGAAAATACTCAAGTACAAATACAGTACACAGTACTTGAGTAAATATACAGTCCACCACACTCAGCTTTACTTACTTATGCCTGGACAGGCCACCAGTCAGTCATAGGGCTGAACCATACAGACTCACATTCACACCTACAGGCCTGCAGTAGCCCAGTGCAACCACTGCACCGCTAATAATCATTTCATACCGAAATATATCCAAACAATACTGAGAAACCTCAGTGATCTGTAGGATGACACTGTAATACCAGCTCTGCCATTGGTGATTGCCTAACAGTAAATATTCTGGCAGATTAGTAAACATTTTCAGTTTGCTGTGGTAATAAACTTCATTAAACAGGCTGTGGGTACTACTGTGCTACTACGTAAAACCAATGTAATGGATTACCTAACTCAAGCAAGTTCTTGCATATTGATTTTGTTGTTGTAATCTAATTATTGAAAACCAATAGTGTAATTAATCTAAACACGATAGCATACCTTGGCATACCGAAATATACCCAAACAATACTGAGAAACCTCAGTGATCTGTAGGATGACACTGTAATACCAGCTCTGCCATTGGTGATTGCCTAACAGTAAATATTCTGGCAGATTAGGCCGCAAATGGTAGTGCTAGCTTGGCTCCCTGGCTTGCAGGTCATAACGGCCCCTTTGTTTGACGTGTTCTTGCTCCGTCTGACTTCTTGTTGGTGATTTGTCTCCAGATCTAAGGAATGAACTTGTTGATTAGAATGTTAATATTGCTGATTTGAAAGATGATCAAAACTATAAAATTAAGACCCAAGTGTCAAAAAACAGCGATGTCTGTTAAGTTAGTGTATCTGCGACTGGATGGTGTTAGTGACAGCACACTCACAAGGGGAAGAAGAGAACATTCAGTTTTCAGCTTCTTCTCTGTGTGTAGAGGAGGGAGGTTGGATGGGATGGTAGAGAGAGCGGGGGAGTGTGCTCAGTGGACAGCCATTCATCCTGAGCTGGGGGAAGGTTTCCAAATCTCCCCCCTGACATTCTTCTGGGCTCAAAGAAACCCCGGGACAGAAGTGGCCCAAAACTGGCACAGACCGCCTCGATGTTGCCAGGGACAGCCACTGCCGAGGCGTTGCTGGGACCCAACGCTGTTTTGTCTTCCGTTCTCACCTCACTTCCTGGTTTGGAAAAGGAGGCTGGAGGATCATTAACCACCAGAAAGACAGCATACTACACCGTGTGTCCACACATAAGCAGGAAGGCTGTAGGCCCCAATCTGCTACCCTGAAATGTTGTGCATATGAACTTGCCCCTATTTTTACTGATATTGTGAACTGGTGCCTTGCACAGCAGAAGATCTTAGCATGTTTTAAGTCTGATGTGCTAATACCTGTGCCTAGGAAACCTAACCCACGCTGTCTGAATGACTACAGACCTGTCACTTTGTCTGTTATCATGAAAAGGCCAGGGGTCTCATTGATAAACGGTGTATATGTACAAAACAGGGCTGGAAATGTGCATACGCCACATCCCTAGCAAAGGTTGTGATCTATAAAAAACAAACTTGAGGGGAAAATGTGTATCCTGTAAGTAAACTCTGAACCATGCATACACACATAAAGAGCAGAAATGAGAAACGGCGACTCACATGGCAGAAGGATGAAACTGTTTGAAATGAATAAGCCTACTATTGTGTAAAATAAATCGGAATATTACCTGAGTATTGTAGGCTTAAAGCCTTTCTGAATAAACAAACACCCCTTTGATTGACTTTCCCTGAAATGCGCAAAAAAAATAAAACAATTTAAGATAATTTACAGCGCACAAAAAGAACCATGAGTGAGCATAATAAACACAAACAAAGATTCTCTTTCTGCAAAAGAACACCTCATATGTTGTACAGTTTAATCAGGAATCATATTAATTAATACTTGCATACATTGAAATTTATTCTCATAAATAAGGAGAACAGGAGGACAAATTATATTTAAATTGATGCCGTTTTCAATGCCTCAGTCGAGCAAACAGGAGAGCATAGTTTCATGTGTTGTTCTCACATGTTCGTTTCCTAATCAAGCCAAACGCTATGCACCAGCGTGTGGATGTGATGCGCGCTGCTTGTAAAAACACATGATGGAAATATAACACTATGTCATTTACAACAAGTTACAGACTATTTCTTTTAACTCATCAGCAGCCTTGTTAAGTGAGTGGACTGTAGCCTAAATAAATGTTCAAACACAAGCGGAATGCATTTGGTTTACTCTCTTTTCAAATGGTGGAATCCAAATTAGTACCTGGATCATCCCGTCTGTGTGTCCCCCTCCGGTCAGTGACGTCACTACTCAGGAGGGATGCACCTTCCTGCAGATCGGTTATAAAGGGAGTGTGCGTAAGCGTTGCATGAAAGTGCATTTTTTACCCACCAAACAACTTTAGCTTCACCAAAATGAACGTTAGTGTCACACTGAGTTAAATTTCATTTTGTAGCTTCAGAATTTGTCTCCTTTTCTTTCTGCAGTCAGTGCGTATTAATATTAATGAGGGGCGTTTCACTGACCATTTATAGGCAACTATGGGTGATTGAAGGGTCGGACATGGAGCTCCCTCACATACGCCACATTTCAAGATGATTGTATTTTATTAAAGGAACTTGCTTACAAGTGTGCGTACGCACGGTTTTATAAGTCTGAATATTTGTTGCCGTACGCCATTTTTGGCTTTTGGGCGCATGTACACTTTTAGTGAGGTTTCTATGCACAGTTTTATAAATGAGACCCCTGGTATGTAACTGTCTGCAGTGTGCTAGAGCCTTATCAGTTTGCATACAGAGCAAAAAGGTCTGTTGACGATGCCTGTATTCTATTTTTCAACACCCAGAGGCCACTGATACCTATGTGAGGGTTCTGTTTGTCGATTACAGTTCAGCTTTAAATACTGTTCTCTCCTCCTTCTTCATATGGGAGCTCAACAGTCCATGTGTCAGTGGGTTCTTGACTGAATGTTGGAGAGGTCACACATTCTGTAAATCCTTAACCTTTAGCACCAGGGCCCCACAGAGGTGTGTACTCTTGTACTCATTGTGCACAAAAACTCAGATTTCCTCCTGTTCTGAACAGCTTTTTCTACATATTACCGAGCCAGAGGGAGCCGGTGTGCCATATACTACTGTGCTACTACGTAAAACCAATGTAATGGATTACCTAGCTCAAACAAGTGAGTGGTCATGTGCTCCCACACTAAGGGCATGGCGGTGCTCAGTCTGCCTGTTCCGCCCAGCAACAACAACAGCCTGGGGCAAGTTCAGCGCAGACAAAACGTAGCAAAACGTTTTTTTTCAACGGAAACTGTGTTTCCCTGAACACCCTGCTGTGTACACAAGCGCACTGAATTTTCCTGCCATTTTAACACTGTTGTGTTTACAAATTTGTGGCAGCTGAATGGGTAACACCTGTGACACGCCCACCAAACAGGAGAAAACATACCTCGAAGCCCGTTGCAGAACATTGCGCAATGTTGCAAGGAAACATGTGGTTCAATCCGAAACTGTGTTTCCCTGAACACCCTGCTATGTACACAAGCGCACTGAATTTTCCTGCCATTTTAACACTGTTGTGTTTACAAATTTGTGGCAGCTGAATGGGTAACATCTGTGACACGCCCACCAAACAGGAGAAAACATACCTCAAAGCCCGTTGCAGAACATTGCGCAACGTTGCAAGGAAACATGTGGTTCAATCCGAAAATGTTGCAAACCGGTGCAAAACGTTTTGAGATTGAACTCGCCCCTGGTAACATGCTTCAGTTCTTGGCCAATCAGAAGATAGTGGGCTTTGAGAGGGGGGGCCTTAAAGTGACAGGAATAATCTACAGCTTGTTCAGACATAGGCTGATATGAAGGCCTACATGAGGAATCTGTATAAGAAGAAAAAAAAAAATCTTTGAATCATGCAAAGCTGCCATACAGGAGTCACAGAACTACAATATAGGACTGAAAAAGCAGTATAATAGGTCTCCTTTAAAGGGCCCCTCTCACAACCTTTTTAATCTCCTTCCTTCTCACAAAAGACTAAGAAGCATTAAAACAAGAATGTACCGGTTCCTGAATAGCACATGTCCCAGAGCTGTCCACCTCCTCAACACTCCAAACACATCATGCAGGCCCCTCAGTAGGTTCAGTCATTTTTTAAAGCACTTGAAGCACTTTATCTAGTGGGTTGTTTGATGTTGTTGCTATGCCCCTATATGTGCTGATGTTTTATTTATTGTATGGGGTGGATATTAAAGAGGTGGTATTCTGCTCATTTTCAGGTTCATTATCCTGTTTAGGGGTTGTACCAGAACAGGAGTACATGGTTTCATTTTCAAAAAAGTTCTCATATTGCACATTGCTGCAGCTCCTCTTTTCACCCTGTGATGAAGGCTTTGCTTTAGCTATGGAGTGATACATCTTTCCTCTACATGATCTTTGTTGGGAGTTGCAAATGTGCAGTTGAATTAATCTGTAACTAAAGCATCTTTCATCCATAAAGTTTTAACTGAGCTCTGTCTCTACATCACAGTAACAGCTTTATGTCCACTGACTGCCTGGAGGGTAGCTAGTGTTTGGAAGGGAGAGGAGAGCTGTGTGCTGCAGCTCACTATTTTTCCAGCAGTGTTTTTGAGGGCGTGTCAGAGAAGCCGCTTGGTGAGCGTTATGAGGCGCATTTAGCTTCATCCATGTGTCATCACAGGGATGAAAGGGAAACGGTTGGACTACAATATTTCACTATGCAAACCTATTACATGCACACAAAAGATATATAACTCAATAAAGGAGAGGAAAAAGTCAAAAAGCAAAAAATGACTTCTTTAACTACTGTCTCTGTTTAATGTATTGTGTGCTTTATGAGTAAGGGTTTTTGTTTTCGTTGTTTGACTGAGCTTTCTTAGACAGATTCCAATCAGCCATGTTGATGTGGCAATAAATTATTGAAACTTGAACTTGAGACCTCAGGACAGGCTTACAAGTCATTCATACGCATTTAGCTATTTCTGTGTTCACTGGCAACTGTCTGTTCCAAACGTCTTTTCTTCCAGTGTTGTCGTCATGCAGATTTCTTAAAGGGGTAGTTGGGGTCTGTATGAGGTCCTTATTCACGGTCAGTGTATTCGCTCAGGTTGCGACAGTCAAATGTATTGATTCACTGTGTTACAGCCGCCGTTTTGGCCGCTAGTAAATGTTACTTCAAAGCGCAGGGTACTTCCGGACGGCTTGGAGGCATTGCGAGGCTACACAGCCGACCAATCACAGAGCTTACAGTCCACGTCGACTTGGTGTGTAGCTACAATTTTGAAGAGGTGCACGTCAGGCGATGGCGTAGCCTCTGCGTAGCCCCATCACGTACGCCGTCAATTCGACGCAGAAGTATAAATTGCACTTTATAGAGTGACAACTGGGGGGGGGGTCTACTTTTTTTCCAGGTCTAAAAGAAAACCCAGTATAGCACAGGTGCAGGCTTCAGTAAACTAAAAGCTTACAAAGCTTACAATATCCTGGCTAATTTAACTAACGTCTGCAGTCTGTAGATGATGATAAATCAAATTCATTACACTAGTTCACTGGTGCCCCATACCACACAACAACATTTGTAGTTAGGGGTCACCAAGTATTCTAGAGTAAAACTGCCAGCAAGTCAGACACACAACAGCAGACCATCATGACCACTCAAACCAGACCCACACAATGTTAAACCAGAACCAAAAACACTATCATAAAATACAGTCTGCATTATCATAAACAGAGTACTGTCTAGACCTGCTTTATATAAAACGTGCAATGAGAAGCGTGTTGTTACGAATTTGGCGCTATATAGATAAAACTGAATACATTTGAAATAACAAACCTGGATTTTAAGATTTACCTAGCCTGGTAAAACTCCTGAATTCCACAGTGAAAACAAATACTGTGCTTATTGTAGAAAGACTCCTAAAATACTTGAAATGAAATAATAAACTTTATATTGATTGTCAAACTGTGTATCTACAGTAACTAATCCTTGATTTCACTGCTCATGCCTAAGCACCCGTGTTGGCTAACAATTACATAAAATATGAAACGATATAATGGTAATGAAATGACAGGATGGGCTCTCAGCTAGCTAACATCAGATAGCTCATTTAAAGTAAAATAAATGCTAATTACAAAATTCTGAAGGTAGAAAATTTAAGTGTATTAAAGCAGCTAGATAGCTCACTACTGACATTAACTTACAGCGTCTCCATTAGCCTGTGATACACCGGACTGGAGCAGTAATTATCGTTTTTATTGTAAAGCCTCGTTTTTATTTTTATTTCAGTTAACGACAGTTTGTTCACATTTAGTTTTTGTTATTTGGTTCGTCTTCGTTAATGATCATAACCTTGGTCACATTATATCTTCTCACAGGATGAATTATCTTATTGACCTCATGCGTTTCAACAAAAGGAAGTGCTTTGACTCCGTTATTTTGTCTTTTTAACCTGACCACACCAGAAGTGTGTTAAGTTCTGTATCAGGACATCTGTCTCTCCCTTTTAGGTTACTTAGTTTGATTATGTTAGGGTTGGTGTGGCCGAGGTGGTTGGTGGACCCAAATGCAGGACACAGAGCAGAGGAGGTACAGTTCAAAAGGGTTTATTAAACCAAAAGCGAGCACACTTACAGGCTGAGTCCAGAAAATCAAAATGATTAAATCCAAATGAGCAAACGGAACAGACATCCAAAACAGGTAATCCAAAACTCCATGAGACCGAGCAACTCCAAGCCACGACAGACAGGGTGTAACACGAACAATGACCAGACAAGGGCTGAACAGAAACACCACACATATATACCAGGGATAATGACAAGGGAGCAACACAGGTGAAAGACATGAGGCTAACGAGACACAGAGAGACAGCAGGAAAAAATAGAGAACCCAATAAAGCCATAACGAAACTAATAACCAGGAAGAAACAGCATATAAATAACTGATCCAGAACATAAGCAGACATATCACAAATATACCAATAAACTACAAATAACAGGGAAAACAGAACTAAGATTAAACAGAACTCAGCACAAACATGGACAAAATAATACAGAAGTACACAGACCAGGAATGACACTAAACATGAACTAAACAAGAGAAACAGAGACAAACAGGAAGACACATGAAACAACGACAAAACTCACAGGGACCCACAGGGAAAAAATACTACTCATAACAGGTTAAACTTTGGTTGATTTTGTTTTTGTTTCTTACACCTGTACATGTTCACACACACAAAACAGATTACTGATGAAGTGACTGCACACTGCATATAGTTTTCTTAAATAAAACTATTTTACTTTAAAGAGTCATGT